TTTTTTTTTTAATTTGAACAACAAGGCTCCTTCTATCTTGTATCCGATTTTTGAAAGATATCAATTATTTTATGTTCAGTTAGGCATAATAACATCCAAGGCTAAGATCTAGGCTTGATGGTTCTGTTAACTTCTGTACCAATGTTTTTGAAATTTCAAATGTGATCTCGTCGACCTTAGGATGGTGAAATTGTCCGTGGAAAATCGACTGGCTCTACGCTTGAGAAAACTGTTTGCAAGTACTGGCTCCAGAGTCTTGACGGTCGACAACATGCAGACCAAGTGAATCTGTCGCACCCACACCTGAAAGACGGCAGTGGACTTCGTCTGCCAGGAATTGGTGATCTCAACAGTGGCGTCAGAAAATTGCAGGCCAAGTCTGGGGATCCAGACTGTTCTGCTGTGTTGGAGCAAGAGATCAATTGGAATAAACAGAGACAAAAAGAACTGGAAGTGCGTATTCAGCATACGAAAGATGAGGTGGAAAACATGGAGGCAGAGAAGGTCAGATTCCTGAAGACACTGAAGAGGTTGGCTGGCTTTGATCCATTGCCGTTAATAAAGAGGAAGGAATTCTCTGGCAGGGTTTCTCTCCAAAAAACAGAAAGGTGGAGAAAATTCCATGACCTAGAACGGAAGCTGAAGGAGAAGCAAAAACACTTGGAATCCCTCAAACAACAGGAAGTTTGCCGAAGTGATGGGCACCAACATACAGAGTGTTCATCAAGGGAGCCTTCTTTTTCAGAAGGCAAACTTCTCTGCCAAATGAACAAGAAAAGAGCAACGATCGAGCAGGAGATTGAGAGAGAGAGGCAGGAGATCGAGGATCCTGAGGAACTGAGAGCGGAGAAAGAAGTCATGATGGCAGGTGCTGAGGTAAGGAGGTTGGAGAGAGAGTTGAGGGAGAAAATGGCTGAGCTTGCAAGGCTGGAAAAACACAAGACCACTGCACAGGGGATTGCAACAGGATCTCACAGGCAGGGGGAAAACTCAAGCAGGCGAGGAGGAGGAAGAGGAAGAGGCAGAGGAGGGGGGGAAGGAGGAGGAGGAGGAGAAGCAGACAGGGACAGGGACATAGAGGCAAAGAGACTCCAACTGATCAAGCTCGAGGACAATCTGAAAGAGATTGAAGAAATCAAGCGGAATAAGTAACAAACTCCATACCATTCCTCACCATTGAAATGAGCCAAGTACTGGTCAAGTCCAACCTTACATACATCAATGAACATTCACATGAGAGATCACACGTGAGAAGCCAAATTGAGATACAATCAACACTGGAAGATGTGGTCTCCAATGCTATTATAATATACAAGGATGTTAGTCTCCAGCTGCTCTGCCGCACACCCACACACACAGCAGATCTCAATCAGGTGGCGGCTATGGCTTCTCTCTCTCTCTCTCTCTCTCTCTCTCTCTCTCTCTCTCTCTCTCTCTC